TATAACGGCAGCTCATAAAATATCTAGCCTGGTCTGCCATGAACGACTTAGCAAGACAGTAAATAATCGATACACGGATGACCACAAGATTAGCTGCAAAACATGTAGGTCTCATTCGTATGATAGTATCAGAACAGCTTCCTTCGTCCATAGTCGTACTCTGATCAACCCAGGTCAATAATGCGTAAATTGTGAATGCACCCAAATCGTGCGGGCGGCTGAACCCCCATCACATTTGGGGTTCACTATTTGCATATATACATGAAATACAAACAAGCGCTTGCCACTTCGCACATGGAAAGTCTCGTTGCCGGTAGGGTTACACATGAATACATGTCGGTAAGTAGATGGTACAAGTCGCGGAGGCTGCAACCCAGACCAACTTTGCCGACATTTGCCAAGTGAGTACGGGTGCATACAGAGTGTTTCTCGCTGTGACATGTGTACTAATTCAGACTAGCGGCCACCCTTTTTTACTCGAAAAATGCAAACATGAATCAAGTTGACAGTGGCAGCCTCACTTTTGTTCAATAAGTCCGGTAGACGATGGAAGATTTAGGTCGTATCGGCACTATCTATCGATACATACCAATCAATAGATTCAGATCTATCAACACCACAATAGCTGTAGCTGAATATGATAAAACAAATGGCTGGTCTTTTTCTCTTCCGAACGAGGTTGGCGAGGGGACTTTCCTGCACGGAGAACGGATTTTGTTGTGTAAAAAGAGAAATTGACACGCTGCTCGGTAGTCCGAAGGGTGTCGCATATAGACCGTGCAATGACGTTATGAGGACCGCTCAGGCAACCGGAAAGTTTTGCCCGCCGCGATCATCCTTTAGTCAGACCCCGTACATTCGACGACGGTGTATAGGATTTGTGAAGAAGTCGAGTCGGATGTTGGCAAAAAATAATTGGTGACATGTAGCAGCAATTTGAGCTGAAAAAGCGCTTAGGTAAGACCCGCGCATGCTATAACTACCTCTGGCCACGTTCAGCATATACCAAATAAATTCTTTTGAGCCGCTCGTATCCAATCTTGCCACTTCGGATTACCTCGTGCATCCAAACACCGCCTTATATTCTTTTTTCATCTCCACCAGCTAAAAAAGCGGGATGGATAGTAATTGGCATGGGTAAAAAGTCTCGTATAATTTGTCAGCTATCGATTACCTCTTTGATGTAATAAGAAGATACATATTCTCGAACTTCGCCCTGGACTATTTGCGAAATATGACCGTAGCGTTAAAATTTGTAGTATTGTCTGTTACTTTTGATGTGATGGTGTCCACCACATACAATTCGATGAGAGAGATTTTTATATATTGTCAACGGCCATTAATTAATTGTTCTCTTGCAAATCAATTATATTCTGACTAAGCTTCACGAAGTGAAACGTTCTCCATTTTACATATGGCAGATAAGGGGGTCATTCAAACAAGAGGGCTCTCTCAAGAAAGCAGAGAGTATGCCCACCACGTCCCTTTTTCGAGCAAATGCATTACCACAACGCCGTTAAACGACATGTTTCTTTTCTTTAGTCGAACTTGTATATGTCACGACTCCACGACGCATTGGTTCCATCCTGGAAGCATGCTCTATCTGCACAAGCGAAATGAGCATCGCAGACGACAGGGAGCGATCGATACGATGAAAACGTTTAGGCTGTTGCCACTGTTCCACTAAGGACGTGCATGAGAATGTGCAATGCGATTGTCTTATTGTAGAAATGCCATCAAGGAGAAGGATTCTGCCATGCCTGCTGCAGCATCTCGGGGCACACACCACCACTGACACGGTTGAGCTCAACAGGGCGTGCAACACCTTCGTGTTCGCGAGCATCAAGGCTGAAACAACCGGTATGCATGTCAACTTGTCCATCGAGTTTTCATTGGGCTCAAATTCTGCCGCAATTTCTGCTCGTTCTTTCCACTGCATATTCGACGTCCATCTTGGTGACAAGAATGACGTCCCAGACGGATTTTTCAGCCGCAGCCCCAGTTGCACCAATGCTGTAAGCTGTAGAATCTTCCCCTTGACTATTGTTCTTCTCTGCGGTCGTAAGAGGGAACAGTTGTCCCCATTGTCTCGTTCTGCTCCAGCACAAATGATCTTCCTAGACACGTATGACGAGTGTGGTCCAACTGTCGTTCTCCAAGAGCGTGGGACGAACTTATGAGGATAGCCGATTCGATTAGTGACCTACGTTTTTGAGAAGTCCTCACACGGTCGGATACGACGTTCTCCTACTCGAGCACAGCGTATTCACACATTCCGGACAGAGTGTTGAGAACACCATCCCGTCAACTTTTTTCCAGCACTGGCGAAGTCATACTCTCATGTATGGACGTAAAAAGCTTGCTTTGCAGCGCCAAGACTATTGTAGGTTTCTGCTAGAAGGGAGGGTTGTGGGAGACCAAGTAAAGTCAGCCATTGCGGCCGTTGATAGAAGTAGGTGTCCGTGGCAGGAGATGTCGAGTCAAGGGAGGATGTGGAACCACCAGGTGACTGCGGGAATGCTATTTTTCAGAAACGGGACTTGGTGGGCATGTAGGTATACTTTTTTATGAGGTTGATTTGGAATGCCCCTGTCGTCTGCGCATGCAGGGAAGCAGGAGATTCTACTGCCTGCCGCTCGGCTTGTACGATGCGTACGTCCACAAGCATTCCGGGTTTCTGACGGTTGCATGCGGCTGATGGGACAGCATGAATGCGAAACTACTGACCGCTTGACAAGTAATGCCGAGGTGGTGCGTATTATGTTCACATGGGATAGACTACTGGCATCGCTGCGTTTCATGTGTGAGCTTCGAAGCGACAGAAACCACATGACGAAGCTCACGACCGTACACCAACACTCTTTGTGGCTCGCGCTCGTTCGCAACATACTGGACGTGGCTCTCCTTTTATTCCAAGCACGTATGCATGCGCAGAACCCAACGAGCATGCAATGCCTCAACATATTCCAATGCTGAAGCGAAGCTCTGGTGCCACCCTTACTTCCTCGAGCGATTGGCCTTTATCGTACACATGGGAAGAGCTGCATGTAGGGCGTCAACGCCTATGGGTGTTTGTCTATTTTTTGTAATCGTCGTATTGTCATTGTACCGCGGAGCTGCGGTTACAGCCGTGGTGCGTGGACGTCCTACAGAATTCTGACTGCTGAGGGTCTTCGTCTCCTCCGACAACAACCGCACGTATGCCGCCTATCCATGTGCCATCTGTCGTGCAAGATGCAGCCCGGTCAGCTCATTCCCTATGGAGACAGAAATTTCTGACAATCTGCTTGGCTCTAGTACGTCTATCCACGTGCTTCAAACCGATGGACGACAGAAGAGACCCACGTGTCAAAACGTGCATAGGTAACCTCACTGGGGATTTGAATCACCAATCCTACATGCTGCACAAGCGCTGAGTCCAGTAATTCACTTAATGCCAGCCTCTCCGCAATTTCCAAACTTGTGGGATCAACGAAACGTCACAAATTAGTTCCAACGCATGTCCAAAACGTTGGCACATAAGCTCATGTAAATCACGGGCACTTCGCATCAATAAGGATTTTCTCTTGCAAGAGCTAAAGTGGCTGGAGTCATGCCCCGGAGACGCCTCTCACGCAGCCACTGGTCGTGCGGACGGTAGACCAGCAAATATGTTGCGACCGGTGGCGTCTTCACGCCACGCGCCACCGCTTCAGTGGTCCAAATGTCACTCGTACGGGCCGCGCAGCGGCAATATAGGATGTTCTACCCCACGGCGCGCATCATCGCTCCGGCGACAGCACGCTTTGGATGAATGGGCCGCACGAGCAGCCGCTAAAACATACAAAGGTTCGCGTCTGAAGCTGTGCAAGAGCAGTGTAGTTCGACAATCCCAGGGGCATCGCCAAAGGTACTCGCGACCTAAATTGATCGAAATTGATCGAGCATAGGCGTTGTCATATCGGCTTTGGAAACACCAGACACCTCAAAAACGACAGACGGCCACATTGGCACGTCAGCCTCTCGAAAAAAATTCGTCGTATTGCATGTTTGGGCCATACGACGAATTTTTTTATAAACGGAGTCGAGCCCTTGAACAACAAAGTGCGTTTCTACAGTAAGCATTAGTAATTGCAAAAACGGGCAGTCTAGCAGTCTGTTTTGATCGGTTGCGTCACCTCCCACATTCACGACACGATTCTTGGTGCCTTATGAAGAAGTAGTCGACGCATAAATCGCACGTGTGCATGGTCCACGTTGCGTGCACCAACCCCTGGGTCGATGATAGCTTCGAGAACCTTACATAACCTAACGGCAGTTGTTTTTGAGGTGCCGACATTTGTCGTCTTAAGCGGATGTACATCCGACAGTTGACAATACGACTATCCAGTCCTTTACCTCCCATCTATAATTTTTTCCCGCTGTCCCGTCTCGACAAACGAGTCGACGCTTGGCGCAGGTCGTTCCAGCTATCGATCTGCATGACGTGGACTTGAAAACGACTGTTTGCCGATCGAAGCATGTGGTGTTTCAGTATCCGCGCGTGCTACGTACTGCCGAAAGCTCACAAGCGGCAGGTGCGACGTATATGCCTTCGAAGCACACGTTCGTCTGTTCGTTCTTGTTGCTCGCATGTTCAAAAGTCTCGAAATTTGAACATCAAGCTCCGTCTGTCGTGTTGTCGCTGCGTTGCGAAATCGAGCTTGGCGAGTTTGCCTACGGCGTTTTTTGAACACAACACACCGACCAGCAAGATAAAGAATTACATACGTGCAAACTCAGTAAACAACGCGGGGAAATGCTGGACGAACAAACCTTTGGATCGTGTGTACGATGGGCCAACGTGCGGCACAGCAACGATTCTGCTTTAGCAGACCGTCACCAACATTTCACCCGATACTGCTGCCCACGTGACTCTGCACACGCCATCCTCCCTCGAGCATTCCAGTTTCATAAAACAATTTGAGCCGCACCGACAAGTGTCTTCATCACATCACAAGGCGCCAACCAACGACGGCAACATGGTATCGGTTCGTGCGGCTATGCTGGCTTCCGTGGTGCTGCTAGTCGGTGCAACCCTCAGCGGGACTTCGGCTGAAGATTCCTGGAGTGAGATGATTCAGGACGATACTGGCGGCCAAAAGGCTTCGGACACTCCAACTTACGAGGCTGGCAAAGAAGGCGGTGACGACAAAGAGGGCGGCGACGACAAGAAAGAGGGCGGCGACGACAAGAAAGAGGGCGGCGACGACAAGAAAGAGGGCGGCGACGACAAAGAGGGCGGCGACGACAAAGAGGGCGGCGACGACAAAGAGGGCGGTGAAGACAAAAGAGGGCAGTGGAGACAAGAAAGAGGGCGGTGACGACAAAGAGGGCGGTGACGACAAGAAAGAGGGAGGTGACGATAAGAAAAGCAGCGGCGGTGGTGGCAAAGAGGGGTTCAATGATCTCGAAGCCAGCACACCATCAACTGGTGGAGGGGGCAGCAAACCATCTACCGGCGGAGGAAAAGTGCCCGATGGGACGTGGCCCAAGAGCACGGGAACTGTTCAGCTCAAGGCACCGCAAGTCATCAAGGCTGGCGAGGACTTTGATGGAAAGATGCAGACGTTCGAGCGATCGGATGTCACGTGCCAGGACCAGAAGGAGAGCGGATCGGACACCGCTGTTTTCCTTGTCGAAGCTGGTGGCACGCTCCGAAATGCCATCATCGGCAAGAACCAAATGGAGGGTGTTCACTGCGATAAACATGACTGCGTGATCGACAACGTTTGGTGGGATGACGTCTGCGAGGATGCGCTCACTATCAAAGGTGGCACCGCGTCCAGTGTTACAACGGTCATAGGTGGTGGCGCTCGGCTGGCCGATGACAAGGTCATCCAGCACAACGGCCTCGGTACTGTCAAGATCGACGGTTTTTACGGAGAAGACATCTCCAAGCTCTACCGCTCGTGTGGCACTTGCGGTGACAAGGTGCGAAAGGTGGAGGTCTCGAATGTGTACGTCGTGGATCTGCAGAATGCCATCGTGACGGTGAACAAGAACTACAAGGACGAGGCCACGCTGAGCAACATTTGGGTCACGTCGAAGAAGGACAAGGCGAAGATCTGTCAGTGGTCGGAGGGCACCGATGGCGGTGATCCTAAGATGTTGGGCGATGGACCGTCGCCCCCGCTCTGTCAGTACACGGAGAGCGACGTGCACATCAACAAAGGCGCACCTTCAGGTGGAAGCTCGAAACCGAGCAAAAGCTCATCACCGTCTGCGTCCTCGGGTGGTGACAGTGTTGAGCAAGAAGCTGGCGTCGTGTCCCCTGGTGGCGGCGACGACGAAAAAAAAGGTGGGGAGGACGAAGGTGCGGACGAGGGTAATGTCGTTGATCAAAGCGAAACCGAGGACAAAAACAAAGGTGATGACAAAGAGGGTGGTGAAGACAAAGAGGGTGGTGAAGACAAAGAGGGCGGTGACGACAAGAAAGAGGGCGGTGACGACAAAGAGGGCGGCGACGACAAAGAGGGCGGTGAAGACAAAGAGGGCGGCGACGACAAAGAGGGCGGTGAAGACAAAGAGGGCGGTGGAGACAAGAAAGAGGGCGGCGACGACAAGAAAGAGGGCGGCGACGACAAGAAAGAGGGCGGTGACGACAAGAAAGAGGGCGGAGGAGACAAGAAAGAGGGCGACGACAAAGAGGGCGACGACAAAGAGGGCGGTGACGACAAAGAGGGCGGTGACGACAAGAAAGAGGGAGGTGACGATAAGAAAAGCAGCGGCGGTGGTGGCAAAGAGGGGTTCAACGATCTCGAAGCCAGCACACCATCAACTGGTGGAGGGGGCAGCAAACCATCTACCGGCGGAGGAAAAGTGCCCGATGGGACGTGGCCCAAGAGCACGGGAACTGTTCAGCTCAAGGCACCGCAAGTCATCAAGGCTGGCGAGGACTTTGATGGAAAGATGCAGACGTTCGAGCGATCGGATGTCACGTGCCAGGACCAGAAGGAGAGCGGATCGGACACCGCTGTTTTCCTTGTCGAAGCTGGTGGCACGCTCCGAAATGCCATCATCGGCAAGAACCAAATGGAGGGTGTTCACTGCGATAAACATGACTGCGTGATTGACAACGTTTGGTGGGATGACGTCTGCGAGGATGCGCTCACTATCAAAGGTGGCACCGCGTCCAGTGTTACAACGGTCATAGGTGGTGGCGCTCGGCTGGCCGATGACAAGGTCATCCAGCACAACGGCCTTGGTACTGTCAAGATCGACGGTTTTTACGGAGCAGACATCTCCAAGCTCTACCGCTCGTGTGGCACTTGCGGTGACAAGGTGCGAAAGGTGGAGGTCTCGAATGTGTACGTCGTGGATCTGCAGAATGCCATCGTGACGGTGAACAAGAACTACAAGGACGAGGCCACGCTGAGCAACATTTGGGTCACGTCGAAGAAGGACAAGGCGAAGATCTGTCAGTGGTCGGAGGGCACCGATGGCGGTGATCCTAAGATGTTGGGCGATGGACCGTCGCCCCCGCTCTGTCAGTACACGGAGAGCGACGTGCACATCAACAAAGGCGCACCTTCAGGTGGAAGCTCGAAACCGAGCAAAAGCTCATCACCGTCTGCGTCCTCGGGTGGTGACAGTGTTGAGCAAGAAGCTGGCGTCGTGTCTCCTGGTAGCGGCGGCGACGGTGAAGACAACAAGAGCAAAGGAGGAGGTGATGAAGGTGAAGACAAGGGAGACGAAAAGAAGGACAAGGGAGACGAAAAGAAGGACGAGGGAGAAGACAAGAAGGACGAGGGAGAAGACAAGAAGGACGAGGGAGACGACAAGAAGGACGAGAAAGGAGATGATGAAGGTGAAGATAAGAAGAACGAGGGAGGGGACAAGAAGGACGAGGGAGACGACAAGAAGGACAAGAAAGATGACAAGAAGGACAAGAAAGATGACAATAAAGAGGGCGAAGAGGAGGTCGCCGGTGAAGCATCAACATGGGGCGGCACGGGAGGCGGCTTTTCTCTCGACGACGGGACCGATCACTTCACAAAGGATTCACCACCAACGTCAGCATCAAAGTGCAACATCCGTCGCAGGAGGAACTAGAGGAGTGGAGGCACGCTGGAAGATTGGCCTCAAGTCGTTGGTAACTTCGTGGCCGTTTCTTCCAGCAGTATTTGTGTTGTTCATGTTTTACAAAGTAGTTGTGTTTTGATGGAATCAATCGATATAATGAGTAAATTTGAAGATACTGCGCTACGCACAATAGCTTGAAAGTCTCACGTGACATTTGTATATTTGCCTTTTCATCGAGACCTCGCTGAATGAAAATCAGTGCCGAGTTGAACACTAACGACAAGTTGCCGCGGCATACGCAGGGTGAACTCGTATTCGCATACAACGAAGCAGAGAAACAAAGGGACCTTGTCACATTATTACGATCGTGGAGGACACAGCAGATAGTAAGTGTGCGAAAGCTGTTTATCGAACTACACGGCAGCTACATTCTGAGGGTGCCTGTAGGTCACGCAGGTGTACCCCACACGTCACGTTAGGTACGATACAGGTGGGCCTCTTGTTATAATCACAAACACATTCGTTGTGTCGCTTCGTCGCCAGGTCACTCATTCCGGCCGCTTAAGAATCTCTTCGTCACACACACGCAAGTGTTTGATCCACAAGCAGCAGCGAAGAATAGTGCAAAAGAGCGCATGCTTGACGAAATCGCGGAGAAGTCGCGATCCAGAAACTGCCACTCAATCGTTCACTTCCCATTGCGCCCGGACTTGCCGACTTTCGGAGGGAATACTCGAATTCGTTTGTTGTTGCATAATCTTCTGCTCACGACATGCACTCGTCGGATAGGCTGGTTTTCATCTTTGTGCTAACGTTAGAGAAGTCGATCCCACTTGGGGTCAAGGCTTGAAGTTTGGTCGATTGCTACGGGAATATTCGTAAAGCGGCCCAGCTAAGTGTCAATCTTGACCCAATCTCGACGAATGATCTTCGTCTGAGATCTCCCTATCTGTCCTGCAAGTACTTTTTTGTAGGATCTCGATCGAATTGAATCCTCCATTTGACCACCTGACCGCACTTGCACTTGTTCGTGTCGGAGGTAGCGGGATCGGTCCATCGATCGTGGCTGTCCTGTCCTACGTGTAAGTTGCGACGTCTTATCGCAGCTGGGTAGAGTCTTACGCTGTCGTCGTCCGCCCCTGTTCAAACAATACGGCGTGCGCTACTTGCAGCGAGGTTCGGTCGACGTTCTTGGACGTCGGGACGCCAAAGATCCTGCACGGAAGAGAAGCCTTCGTCGCACGCGACCAGTAAATTCGAAGCCCTCGATGCTCAGTGCTCGAGCAAATAACCCGAGTGGTTGATAGCGACCCCAGGTCATAATCAAGAGATTACAATATCTGAAGACGCTTAGTATCCTGAAACATGTTGGGAGGCCAATACAGGGTCCAACCCGGCAAGATGTACATTTGTGTTGCGCAGATCGATCCAAGTCGAATTTCTAAATCATCTCATTACCGAACGCATTAAAACTACTTAATATTTTGGAACTTTTTTCAACGATCCAGGTCTTATGCGACTAAGACGCGCGGCATCATTAAACACCAGGAGGCCAATAAAACGTTCCTGTCTGGATATGGTTGCCCGGCCTCGCGTTCAGATGAATGCAAGCCGGTAGGTCTCTACCGTCCGAACAGATCGATACCTGACTTATCAGTATGCTTCTGCTATCTTGTGGAATACTCTTCGAGTCACATCAACTATTTGCAGGATTGCCCCCTTGACTACTTTTCAAAACTTCGTAGCGTGTACCCAAATAAAAGCGCCGCATCCGAAGGATTATCCATATGCTTCAAGATTGCGTAAATGTGCGACCTTTGGGTACATATCCAAAATTGTGGATACATTCGAACATTGGATCACCTACCACTATTGTGTCTCGTGTGTTCAAAAGTCAACTTCCTCGAGTAAATTCGAACAATTCTATCTGGCGCTTTGGGCCTAAACTTTGATATCATTGTCTCAAACCGATATTTAAGTACTTCCATGCCAGTTACCATCTTTGGCATATTAGGTTGCTTTTCCGGTAACCAGTGGCACAGATCTCGAATATATAGTCGACGCATTTATTGTCATTTCGACATTCATCGACAACCTGTTCACAACATGGCGATGTTGATCATCTTAAGCCTCAAATGAGGTATTTTTCTTTACTTCGTATTATCTTGATTATGGACCTGAGATTTGAAGAGGCATTCATCTACTCGTGAACTCAGATCGGAGTCCACGCAACGAAGGTTGACTCATCTGAGTGGAGGTTGTGACATAGTTGTATTGTCTCCCAGCTTGAAAATGCGTTAGGTTTGCGACGTTGGTGGATGGACTATCGGTCTACGTCTTCATAACTCACCGAAAACATATTTTTCGCCCAATATCTGGGACGATAAGATCAATGATCTCGCTTAAAATTAGCCATGTATATTCCAATCATTTCAGAAGCTGAACTATTGTGTACGCCACGCCGTTATAATTCATAATTCATCAACTCATCGCATCGGTATACATGTTTTGCTATTTGTATACTTGAGTGCGTTTATTCTATTTATGTTTCTGCACCAGGCCGGTACAAGGTTCCACATTGACGCAGTTGAACTTTATGTCATCTGCCGTCATATATTCGATTTCTTAATCCCGGGTTTCCGGAGTTTATATTGACCTGCCGAACGCCTCCCTAATTATATGATTGTCACTTCTCTCCCAAACGTGGTATCGCTAGTTTGCCACAACCTTCCTCTGTCCTTGGTCATTCGCACCGCATTCGATCTCAACACACTTATTCACCAAATCTTTTCTCATGGCTCAAGTATGATGTCTCCGTCCCCAATTTTTCGTGCATTCCCGTCGCGCAAAAGTATTCCGTACTGCCGTTATTGTTAGATCGATTCATGTCACCTAGAATCCATTGATATTCAAATATATATCAATTGCCATCGACGCTGTCCGGACCTTGAAGCCGTTTCGCTTCATGTGGATCGACTTATGATCAGCATAGGCCGCCAACCCTTTCTGTGGTTACCAAGCTAAACATTAGAGAAAGTTGTAATTGCGTCGTCGCGTGGATCTTCCTCTTGTCAGTCCGAGTCGCCTTCCTACCAGTTGGCAACCTCATACATCCGCCCTGTTGCTTCTCGCTGAGTTAGTCACTGCCAGCCTGAGATATAGACTTGCGAGAAGGCGCGACTGTAACTACAGGTGTCTTCCTCGAGTTCGATGATGCCTGTATTTGCAATTGCACCCGACCGTTTCATAAGTTATCTCTCGGAGATCGTCAGGCTCCCATGCCGACTACTTCCACCTGGTAAAATCAGGCTGCTTACGAAAAATTTCGGGGTGTTTTCGCTCTTTGCAGCAGATTCTCCGATCTGCCGTTGTCCCGCAGATTGTTTACAACACGAGCTATATTGCTTCGCATAAGTCAGCAGCACCGTACGTCTGCTATATTTGGCGTCAATACAGTTCTCTTTGTCACCAGTGTAACGCGAGTCGTCTACGTATGTTTATCAACAAATCGTAGCTAAAGAGTCATGAGGTTGCTCTGTTGACACAAGCCGAATGCGAGAGACGTTCCGACTACAAAGGTCATCTCGTTACGCCAATTTTAGTTACTTCTAAAATTACTTCTTTGGACAAGAATGCGTCGATTTCAGTTCTCAGATATACCATCTGGATGGGACCTGGCCATCAGACGCTTCTCGTACAATGTTCCGAGCTTGACCAAGATCGATGCGCTTTGTAATTGCAAGTTATATAATTGTGGATTGGTAATAATCAGTCTTACAGTGATGTCGCAGAAGGTCGGTAGAACATTGTTGATTAATCAACCTAGTGGTTTGGATAATGTCTGTCGAGAGTCAAATGCATTATGCACAGGCGATGACTGCTTCTTCATGCAGTCAGCTCCGTAATTATAATTTGCTCCATAATCCAACTGCGTTGAAGCATCTTAAATACATTATTTTTCACTTTTTGTCGCTCATTGAATGACAAGCTTAATTGCGCAAACAGTTTTCTCATTCTTTTTCTTCTTCAACAACGGTCATCTGAGCTAACATTCTTCGTCCAGATCTACATTCAACCTTCCACCCAATATTTACGACCCAGAGCGGTTAATCGAAGTACTCAGCATCTCCGTCACATATCTATCTCTCGATCTCCCGACCCCTCAGCAAAACTCTTCATATCAAGTATTATGGTTGTCCCCTTCCAAATCAACAATACAGCATCAGAAGTCGTCTTTATCATGTTCCGAGAAGAGCTCAACCAAAATAGGCTTCATCTCCGTTGAGTACTACCTTGTTGGGAATCTCTTAGCTAATTTTTTTAATACGGGTCATCTGATCTGTCGGTGGAGAGTAACGGACACGAGTTTCGATTATTTTACTCGGGCGGCAATTTCTCGATCTAGGACTACAGCGCGTCGTCAGGTAAATTCTGGAGGTTTTCTCACTTCCCGATGCCATTTGCCTTATGAGTGCAATTCAATACGATGACCGAACTTGAAAATTGTACAGATCGTCACCCAACAGATCAACAACCTCTCGTAACTCTCGGATCAAATTTCTTCATCAACGGGGGGTCAACGATCTAAACAGACAACTATGACATGACTGTGGCTCCGTATAAGGTCGACGCAACCACGACGACAGGTATATCACGCACTGCAAGGCATTATACTCAGATCGTGACACGATCAATGACTTACGGGCGACTCGGACTCCGATTCGAATCAATATCTTTGGCGAATTATGCCAAACTTTCTTGTCATCAGCCGGTTTGCTACCTATAAGTCACCACCTTCCAGGCGCCGTCTCTTCGATTACCGTCAACCATATCTTTGTAACCGTTATACACCAATACTGTTTTAGTGAAGATGCTCGACCTTGATATTCTCTTTCGTCATTTTCGCCAAGCCAAAATGTGTCTACTTCCATTGTTTTATCATGGACGAGCTTCGCCTGGTGGATATAATACGTCGATCATTATCACACGAAAATTGTAGAAGATGTATATGATCGATATCCGTGGACATA